ATCGTCACACTCATGCCGCTTATGCCACTCAGAAGTACGGTACATTGTTTTGTGTTAAACAGTGGGTCTGTTTGCGTTGCGACAATATATAAATTTAAAATAAAAATGGTGCGGTGTATTGTTAAAAGTTGTAGGAATAAAACAACGGGGGTTCGTGAGGAAACTGTGAATTTTTTTCAGCTACCGAAAAATGAAGTGATGCGGGAAGGATGGCTGAAAAAAATAGGAGGCTATGTTTTACCACCAAAAGTTGAATTTGATAAGTTTGATATTGTACATAAACGTGCAAAAGTATATTAATTGAAAAATAAAAATGAATAAAAAATAATATTTTTTAGTTACTAACATAACCTCAAATTTTGTATTTACAAATGGAGTAAAAATATCATGAAATGTTATTAATATGAACAGAAAATAATAAAAACAAATTAGCACTTTGTTCATCTATATAAGTAAAAATATTTTACAATTCAAAATATGAAAATCTTTAATTTGAAATAAAAATTATAAAGCCATATTTAATACAATGTATTAAGTTTTATTATTTATACATTATATTATTTTCAGCAAGGATATGCTCGGTTCATTTTAGTCAAGAGTCCTTTCATCAAGGTCGAGCACGGAAAGACCCTGTTAAGAAACGTTACCTACTACCATCGGCTGTGCCAACGTTATCTTTGAATTGTTCAGAAGCTCCAAATGTAAACAAGTAAGTATATAAAAACACATACACATTTGTATTTGTAATGTGGTGTTATGTAATTATATAAATGTACTTTTTTCACAAGGAATGCGGTGGCTGAGTACAAAGATTCCTTACCTGATGAAGTTTTATTGTGTCTGGTGAGAACACGTACGTACATACGAATAAAAGAAAATGCCAAAAAAATCGTATGTAAACAGAGAGAGAAGAAAGAAGGAGAAGAAAATGAAGAAACTAGTGTCGTAAATTAAACTAATGTTGTCATTGCACGAGTATAATGTATATGTAATGTATAATGTAATGTGTATAATGTAATGTATATATAATCATACTCTTTCTGCAAATCTATATATATATATATATGTACATACAACGGAATAATATTTAATTAATAGCAAGTTTGTTTGTGTCTAAAATGTACTTACCTGCGTACTCTAACATCACTGAAAGAATGTGTCAAAATTATATTTATATAAATATAATATTAAATTTCTTGTTATTAAACATTTTCAACTACCTTTTTTCAGAAGAAAAGTCCAATTACAAATAAAAGTTGTTATACTAATTATTTTTGCTTCTTTGCATTTCTTTTCACAAACATTAATCACTTCTCTCTCTTCAAAAATATCAGTAATAATATTTTAAATGTAAAAGGTGTGACAAATTTTTTTTCAAAGATCTGATTTTTGTGTATCGACTTTCCTTTTAAGCGGTTTATTAATGTACCACCTTGTGTTGTAAACAAATTAATTTTAAATAGGTACAATTATTGAAACAGAAATTAGAAATGTAATCAAGAATAATGAATAAAAAAAATACATGAAATTGGAATAATTAATAAATTATATTAAATTTCAATAATTTAATTTTTTGTTGATTATGTATACCTATAATTAGTTATATTATACTTCGCCAATACATATTTTTAAACGCCAATTTCATATAAAATTAATAATTGTTATGTTACTGTTGCGCAGGGTTATTTAATGACTTCCGCCAGGTATTGTGGTTAAGATACGTGTAATTATAAGTCTTGAATACAATAG